CCTCATCAGTGACCCTGGACACTACCACCAATGAAACTTCAGACCAATTCCAAGCTTTTACTTGTTGTTAAATTGTATAATATTGAATAATAAATTATGTGCAATGCCATATTATTATTCACACATCTAAATTAATTTAGGTTACTATATGGTGAGTTAAAAAGAACAACCCCATAGACGTTTGAAACAATAATTGTCCTACATTATTTGTTGTAAGGGTGCTGTTGTTTGTCAGTCATTACAGTGCATGATGATTTCACGTAGTCATGAACCAGTTCTTTAAGAATTTTATTTATTTTACTAACAGTATGCATCACAGTGCTCTAAGTAGAATACTGATTGTCCTCTTAAAGAAACAGAAGGATGTCTTCAAACTATTTAGAAATGGGGCTCAAATTACCCTGTATAAAAATGGAGTAACCTAATCAGATATAAGCTGGCAGATTGTCTTTAATGGCAAATATGTGGGTGACTATTTCATGACCATTGGTTTTCAAAATACCATGATTATCCATGATGCATGTAAACCCTGTTGCAAAATTATTTACATTTGCATTATATCTCTTGTACATTGAGATTTACAATCCTATAGTAACTGTTTAATGCTCATATTACAGATTTCTTTTCACCAAAAGTAAAATTGAAAACATAATCTGTGAAAGGCCTAATGTATTCCTTGATTTGCCATGCTTTCTTCTGTGGTCTGCAGTTATACTTATTCAGGACTCAAAAATCCCATTTTTATTATTATCATTATTATAAGAGGCCTAAATGTATTTTCCTGGTTTTTGACCAAAGCTGTGCTGATGAGCCTTGAATGTAATACAGCTGTTACTGCATTTTTTATCAAACCAGTAAGTTTGTAGGTCCTGGTAGTTTGTTACCATTAGCCTGTGTGAACCAAGTTTCAAGCAATTTATCTTTCAACACAACCAGACCTTATTTTTCACTTTCTATTCAGTTTCTAAACATTTCCCACCTAATTTTGAAAAGAAGTTAATAAACTACACTTTTATTTTTTAAAGTTAATCTTTATTTGGTAATTTTTTCTGGTTACTCTATCATAAAATAACAGCCCTTTAAAAAGTTCATCATTTTTTACCCCCAATTTCAAACTAATTACTGGGAGAAAGATAAAATTTTCTCCTATTTTACCATTTTTTTTTACTAACCGACTCATCATAGTAATTTCAGAGAGCTCTGGTAAATACAATATTATTTGCTAAAGAATGATGGGGAAAAACCCAGTAAAAAATGCACCAATTCTTGATAAAAAATTAACTTACCTTCAGAGGTTTGCAATTTTCTCTAACGTATCTGCCAGCAGAACTTTTGTCATCCCAGTCAAGCCTCCCATGGTAGAAATACTTGGTTCTAAGGAAACATAACAATGATCACTGGTTAATTGTTAAAAAAATAATAATTGTTTCAGACATTTTTTTCATGCATTTGTATATTACAAAATTCTTTTTTTAATTTTGTTGAAGTGTATAGTAAAAACTGTGATCACAAGGAGGTGTACGTCCTTAACAGTGGTGTTTGTGTTCAATACTAAAAGTTATTACCATGAGAAGAATTTTGAATATTTCTAATTATTATAATAAACTGCTAAGTAAAACAAAAATGGATATCTAAAACCTTAAATAAACCAAATGTATTAATTTTTACATCATTCAATCCAGTCAATACTGCTTTAAAAGTGCAGAAACTATATATTTTACCATGTTGGGCTATTACGAAACAGTTGTATACAATGTTGAATGATTTTTCTATGGCTGAAGAAAAACTATATTGAATGTTAAAACTGTTATAAATACTGTCAAAGTGAATGTTACTAATGTTTCTGGTTTATTTCCTTGAAAGATAAGTTATAATTTAACTCAAGAGTTGTGAAAATACTGCTTCAAGTTCAAAATAAATAACATTAAATCAACTTGCTACTTCTTATTTCCAACAAGAATGTCAAAATTAAGTGAAAACATTGTACTTTACCAACTCATATCAAAAACTGTAGCTTACAGACAATTATATTTAAGTGTTTTACATACCATTAAATATTTATGCTATTTCTTGCCCATTTATCAACTATTGTAGAACATGAACATTTGGAAATGTCACTAGTTACTTATTGCCGATCACCCTTCATAATGTCCGGTACTTCGAGTTAAAATAATATGACATATGTACTAGGAAACAATTAACTAAAATGGCTGAAAACATAAATCATGCATTTTTGTAGTTTCAAATGACTCGCATAATTTCACTTAACATCTCTAGGAAAAAAAAAGAGGAATTTGGCATATTGAAAGAAAACAAACTCGAAAAGAGCAAGGAGGAATTGTTATTCAAGTACTACAAAACGGTAATGTATTAACTTACTTTGTTTTCCGACACATACGGTATGGAAGTGGCCCTAAAATTCTCTCCATCATTGCTAGATGCTCTCGGTTGTCATGAGTCTGAAAAAATTAAGAGATTTAAAAAAAAAGTTCTCAAGAGACTGTTTAGATTTTTCTCTCTAACCTCTAATTTGTCAAATCCTACAATTAACTGTCAGAGGCTTTGAAGTTACAAAGCTGTACTATTTTCTTATTCTTCAAAATACATTAATTTCAGTTAAACATCACAAGTTCTAAATGTTTTCACTAACATTTGGAATACAATATTACTATCAAATAAACATGATGAAACCATCCTTATTACTTGGAATACACTGCTGCTATCAATTATATGATAAAACCGGCATCATAATTTAACAAAAATAGAGAATTACAAAATTATGTCATTTCAAAAAAACCTACCTGAAACAAGGTAATTCCTAAATAAAGTTCAAACAGTATGCATCCAATGCTCCAGACATCACAAGGTTGAGCCCATCCTAGTTCTTGTAAGATAAAAATAGATTTAAATAAATCAATGTAAAAAAAGACATTTTCAGACAGTTACTCCACAATAGACAATTTAATATAATTGTTAGTTCTACTATACAGTAATGTTATAATTCAAAAATACACTTCATTCACTAAACAATTTAACAAAAAAGATAATACTGTTTCCTGAATTTTAAAGTAGATTCATAATTTTGAAAAACTATTTTATCATGTTTTAGTGTTTGAAATAACCATTTTCATTATTATAACATATCTTTCAATCTGTTACACCTTAAATTTAGACTTCTATTGTAACAACACTAATTTATACATACCTAGGATGACTTCTGGGGCGCGATAATGCCTGGTTGAAACTACTGTACTATGGTGTTCATGATCAAATGTTGCTGACCCAAAATCAATTAGTCTAATGTGTGTGTCACGTACTCGACGGTTCTCTCGTTTCTGTTCAAATCCAAAAGTAATATGAGAAAAGAACTAAACACTAATACAAAACCTACTAAGCACTGATGAAAAAACACCATGTATCAAACATTAATTTTATCTTAAATAACAAAATTTGTTTTTAACATTAAAATTCAAAGCAAATAAAACAAAATAACTGAAAAGGAAAATAGCATTTTTTGAAATATTTCACATACCAGTTTATTGTGTATGGTAATTCAACTACTTACTTTTACCAAGCATAAAACTTTAAGACTTCAGTGATTTTAACTTTCAATCATGCTGTAGAAATCTCAATATGCAATGTAGTGACACTTGTAACAATACTGCGTTAGTTTTGGACTTAAACAAAATGAAACTTACTTTTTTTGTATGGTAGCTAACATCAGAGTCTGAGTTACAAAATAAAATGTTTTCTGGCTTCAAGTCTGTATGGGTAAGTCTGTTTTCATGCAAGACTGTTAAAAGATATACATAAAAAAAAACATTAAAAACTCAATAACAAACAAGTAATCCTGAATTCATGATATTCAAAATACTGATTACTTCCTAATAACAAGTTATTAATTTGAATAATATCTAAAACCAAATTACATAAAATAATTTGACTTTTCACTTTGGAGATGGAACTAAAGATTAACATGACTAATGCACCAATAAAAAAATGATTTGTAATTCTTAAGACTTTTTTTTTTTATATGAACAATGTACAATGATACTCACATTTCACAGAATAACACATCTGGTAACCAATGTGACGAACCTGCTCCAGTGGATAGGGTTGGTAGTTGTTCTCTTTCTGTACAACAGAGAGAAAAAGAATTTTTAGATAAGAATATATGTAGCATAATTCTTAATCTAGTCCCTTAGGGATTTTCAAGTATTAGACAAGTGTATAATAACAGTATTCCCACCATGCTGTATTTGTCATATGCATTGCTCAAAATGTTTCACTCAATCCAGAGCTCTTCCGGTCAACTGGGATACAACAAACACAACAGAGGTCAAAACACTATTATATATAAGGCATTTTATACAACAGTTATAGTACGTACACCTTTTACAAACTGGCCAAGAATAATTACAATTATACTTATCATAAGACATAAATATTAAGCCTATTACATTTTTAAACACTTACCTTCTTGAACAGTCCTAAGAGACTAAATCAAGAAGGTAGTATTTAGAAATGTAATAGTTCTAATACTAATATATTATAAAAAGTATAACTGTAAATGTAATTCTTGTTTATTTCAATGACTTTCCTTCTACGTGGCCTATAAAGAAAAGTTACTCTACTCCTAGTTCTTTATGTAAGTTTTGAGAGATCTTCTCTCCTTACTGCTGACAGCTTAACAAAATTGTACAGATCAATGGACACAGTCCACTTATGTGAATAAATTGCTTGGCTCACTTTTAGTGCCCATATCATTGCTGATTTAATCTTTAGGTCTTGTCTGTTTATGACAGTCAACATGGCTGAATTTGATTCTGTACAGATACAGAAAACATAGAGAAAGTCTGCAGGGCTTAACTGGTCAAGTTTACTAGACCATCCTGGAATTGACTGAAGAAATGAAGTACAATGAGCAGAGGAAGGTAAGAGTGTTGCTGTAACACACTGTTTATGGAGAACAATAAGAACTGTGCAAAAAAAAGGGAAATGTATATGGTTTGACCCACATTATGTTTAGGTTTGGCTTCAAATGAGTGAAACATTGGCCTGCACAAACTACCAGTCATGGTCATTTCTGTCTTTTTCAGAAAATTCTATGTAATTTAGTCTTTAAATGTGCTATATTTCACTTTTTTTCATTTCATACAGCTGTATGAAATGAAATATATTAATTTCACAAAAGTGAAGACTGGTATGAAAGCCCAATGAGGCAATAAAACATTCACACTACAACTGTAAAATGCAAATTTCCAGAATAATGAAACTTTGGTAAAATAATGTTGAATGTGAAAACTACATGTCACTGGGTTTCATCTCTCTGTGGTGTGATAATAATACATGCTACAATCTAAACTTGCTCAATGCGTTATGCCTGAAATGAAGTCTACAATGCATTTCAGTAACTTGCTAAAAAAAAACTATAAACAGCATACAAATCCAACAGTGTGAAAGAAGGTTCATTTTCTGAAAACCAAAAAATAAGTACACATGGTTAAAATTGATTAAAAATATGTTTTATAAGTCATTTTAACAACCAACAGAACCACTCGAAAACATACACTTTAATAAGTTGAATGCATTTTTATAGGCTCACTTGGAGGCCTGCAATATATAAATAACAGTGCATGTTGAGTATATATATATAATTTTCAAAAACAAAAGGAAAGTATCTGAATTCAACAGCATCAGAAATATGATAGAACACATCAGTTAAATATACATGTATTAGAGATGTATCTAAATACACTATTTAAAAAAAAAGTCAAGCAAAGCATTTCTTAATTGACTAACCAAATCTGGGAATCTACATATAAATCAAAAATACTTTTGTCAAATATTCAAGGCAAACTTGAAACTATAGTCTGTAATATAATTGGTATAATACTCACAAGGAAGTCAAAGACACTAAGTCCTAGCATTTCAAATACTATACACATGTGTCCATGATAGTCAAACCAATCCAGCATAGTGACACATAACCTACAAGAAAAATTACCAATGTGACTTACTTGTGTCACAAAAACAACCTTCAAGAACAGCAAAAAACACCATTTTACCAACATATAACTAAACACCTGGTAAAAATAACTAGAAGTAATTAAAAGTTCATACTTTGAAAGAACTACTAACAATGTGACACACTCAGAAAGAATTAGTAATTATAAGCTTAAAAATCACAAGTTTTTGACAAATGACAATACAAAAACTTTGAATTAAAATAGCTCTTAAAAATACCATAAGAAAAAGAATGCTTCATCATGAATACTAGGACATGTAAGTAAAGCAGATTATACAGCATTTAATAAAGGCCATTAAACATGTTAAATTAAAACAGCTAAAGCAGAAAAATCAGATATTAAAAGAAAATATTGAGAAAGTTCTTTTGCAAACTACTATAAAATTCAAAACAATTTTAATCACCTTACCTGCAATGCATTATTTATTATACCACATATTTCAATGAAAGCTATTTATACTTTCATCAAAACATATATCACACTTTAATTTTGTTACAACTTAAATAATGTGATCACTAATGATACTTATTCTGTATATTAGCTTTCTAAATTATGTATTTTTTAGGACTGAGGAGACCAAACCTTTTATTTTCAGGATCAGCTTCTGCTAACTTCTCAAGAACATTGATCTCCAACTTTGCAGCCTCTCTGTATTTCTCTACATTTTTTATTACCTTCAAGGCCACTACTTTCTCACTAGAATACAAGTTAATTATCAATTTAGATTTATGTAAATGAAAAAAAAAATTTTTTTATATGAATTCAAATTTTTTAAAACCTAAAAACCATATAACAAAAATAAACATATTACTTTTGATGAAAGGATAGCTACAATACTTTACACGATTTGTGGATTACAAAAACTATTTTTCTTTTGATTGACATTTTTATTGTACGATATATAGAATATTTTATTCAAGAGTTTTTAGTTTCTATATGCATTAATAAAATATCGCACATACAATGAAAACAATGTTTATAGTGCTGCCACCTTTTGACAATAATTAACACACACACAGTTTTTTCTCAACAACGTTCTTCCAGTTACCTGACACATAAGCTATCAGTTCGTAACTTCTAAACTAAAACGGAATAAATGTTCATCTTATCAAACGAAACATTATAAAACTGAATCAACACCGTTAGTGTGCTCCTACACAACTTTTCCATTCATTTATCAAAACATACAAAATATTTTATGAATTAAGAATACACAGATGTATGATTTCGAGAATCACCACAAGCAAAACATTTAAAACGCCTCCTCCCCCTCCCCATCGAATAATTTCATGACCGTTAAGCAATTGAGATTATATGAAATGTAGGCTCTGCAATCTCCTGGAAAAAGGTCGAATTTGACAAAAATAGTTACTCTTGTTCTTTGGCATCATTCCGAGTAAATAAATTGTTTTTTTTATAACTGATCTTTGTGGTCTATGGAAAAGTTCCAACACACCACAAGAAAACACTTTAAAAAACTTGCTAAATATAGAGGGTACTTCACTGGAAGGGCATTGATGTCATCATGCAAATTTACCAATCCTTAGTGGTAACATCAACATCCCTGCAGTTTTATTTTTGCTGATAGTTTTCACCACATTTTTTTGAACAAATGAAAGTAATGAAGCTATTTTTCTTCGCTTCAGCCCAATTCTTTGAGATACCACAGTTTTGTAGAATACCATCTTTCCTAACACTAACTAGAATCTATTAGTCTGTGGATTCCACAACAAAGTCCTTTTTTAAAACTACGAAAATAACACAAATTAAAGTACAGTAAGGACAGGCCCGTCATTATAGTTGCAACACAACGTTCTCCTTTAGTTCAAGACAGAAGTTGTAAAGGCAGACAGGATGCCTACATGCTCCACTCGAAACAAAAATAACTACAGCGTCCCATGTCTGTTTTCATGGTAAGGCGTCAGGCCTACGCCTATATAAAGATAAGCTATGTAAATATGCATCCCTCCCTGAACAAGTCAAGCGTCTTGTCACACTTTCTAAGTACCGTTTTTTACTTTGGTCTTATAATCATTAACCGTACTTCAGGACATCACATTACACTTTTATAAATGATGATTTCATTAATCATGCACCCAACAAAAATCTAGATGTAGAAAACTATACAGTTTCCAAAAAAAGACATACAACGTGAAGGGGAACTATAACAAAAATGAATCCAAATTTTTTTTTTAAACAGGCATTGTAAGCAATGAAGTCGTACTTGAAGGATTTTGTGATATTCTGGTTAAACAGTACGAAAATCGGCAGAATTAAAATAACAATGCAGTAGGAGAGTATGTGTGTTAAAAGCAGTCAACTGTACCTTCACCCAACTCCTGGAAAAATGTCGACACAAATCTAAAAAGCCAAAAAACGTTAAGTTGTAAATACAATTTTTAGTCATTTAAAGGCCATGATTAGTAATGCCTGCTGGTTCATCGCAGGATATTCATTAACTACGACTTCACCGATTCTATTTAGGTCTTTAAAGCGGATAGAAAATAAGCTTGTTTACCGTTTCCTATTTATATCATTTCGCGCTAAGATAAGAACTTGAAGCAAGGTTTACCAGAAGCAATATGAACATACAAAAAATTTACGTGTTATTTCAACAACTTTAAAACTGTATCAAAGATTAAGTCTTTCAGAAATTTCTTGCCACAAACGACATGGAATATATCTAGAAGTTATGTCAAAATCAAAACGAGATTAACGGATTAAAAGATAATGTGTTAAACAAGATATTTCCTAACGTGTCCAATAGCTTGTGCGTTTTTAATCTGATAAACCGAAAAGATAAACTAAAATGTTTACATTGTCCATAAAAAAAAAAAAAAAGACTGAGAAGGCAATGATTTGATACAGATAAAAACATGCTCTTTGATGCTTGAAAGCTGTGATATAATAAATTAGTCCAATATGAACCACGAAACGAGAATTCAAAATATCCAGTTTATTCTCAGATGATAATTAAACCTTAAAATACCTTTATGCATGGTCAATATTTAATGTATCTGCCAGAAATGTCAATATTCAGTTTCCTTATTTTCACATTAATTAGACATACAACAGTAAATCCCTTATCTAAATACATAAACTTGCGAGTCAAACTTAAATGAGAAAATTTCTAAATCACGAAAACTGTTCTTTATTTTAGTTTAAAAAAACATTACTTTTATCGCGATCACATTCTGACACTTGTGCACAAAGCAACAGGAACACTTAGACAGTCGTGCATGAAATAGCAAGAGGTAGGCATTAAAACTTAAAATCTAAGCAACACAGAAAATGCAATGATACAATAAAATGTTTCTAGTTGAATTGTTTTTCAAAATAAATATTAAAAATAGGCTAACGTCGAAATCACGATGTTACGCAATATTTAATTTTACGTAAAAAATAATATAGAAAACTGTAATGATGTGGCAAGTATAAATCGTAAGATGTCTTTATGTGGTTATCTAAACATTTCAGCGACGAAATCACAAATCCTATTAATACTATCAGTTCTTCACGACATTCCTAAACTTATGTTGTGATCAACAGTAAAATATTAACAACTTTAAAAGGTCTAATATATGTTTTGTAAGTAAAGCAATTTAAAACAAAAATATTACAAACGTAGATTTAAAATATCTAACGACCCTTAAAGAAATGTAATTCAGTATTTCAGGGGTGCTTCACCAATTTCCCCTTTACGTCAACTAATGTTTTTTTTTTTCTTTTAGTAGTTTCGGGCAAAACTTAAACTATATTAATGAAAGAACTTTTAAAATGATCACTAGTTCAGTAGTGGTGGTTTACTCACATGAATCTTCTACGTTTTAATCAGTACCTAACCGATAAACAACGCACTGAGTTGCATGTCACTCAAAGTTAATGCATCAAAATGCTGATGAATCGAAGCTTACAATAATAAAAATCGCTTTAGCTTTTGACCTCGTTAAACTCCTATTAATCTCTAGACTTCAGATTAGAGTAGCTACTGACAGTCATAACTGAATAGATATTGACTATCCCGAAGATGCAAAAAATACAAACAAACAAAAACAACATTTAAAGTTGATCATCTTGTCTAGTGATTTTCTCTGAAAAGGAAAGTCTCAACGGAAAGGTAACTTACGTCCTGATATCCACAACCTTTACAACTTTCCCAAAGGTTCCTTCTCCCAACGTACTGACGATTTTATCTGAAAAAAGGGTAATAATATTAGTAACAAAAACAGACGGTGTTTCTTGTCACTACCATAATTTTGGTAGAACAGATTAAAAGATGTTATGTTTGTATGTATACACTTCCTGAAATTCCATACGAAACGGTCTATACTTTATAAAGATCTACAACACCCAAGGTTTCCCTATTTTTAACAACTTTCGTAACATTAAACAACGAAATACAAAATGGTTTCCGTCAAGTAAAGACGGTGTTTAACAGTAAGGAATAAAAAAATTAAACAGATATTGGCTTTTAAAGATCAGTAACAGCTCTGACACATTTAACTGCTCATATTAACTGGTTGGTATAACTAAACATATTCATGAATTAAAAAAAAAATTGTGTCCAGTATGAAACGTTAGGTTTCTGTGCATACTTCCTTGATCTATCACGTGTCGTAGCTATCAGTGGTTCAGGAACTGATAGCTTCATTTAGTTAACTGATCGACCTTGCTTTGGTAATAAGAAACAAGTACATTTATACTGACCTACTAACAAACTTTACAAATACATCTACATTCTCTTAAAAACAGATACGCAGAGAGTCTCAAAAGTCTACAATTTTTAGGTTTAACGATTAAGATTAACTCGTGTTTTTTTGTGATAGAAAGGAATAAAACTGTAAGTGGCAAGTAACAAAAACATCCACCGACCAAGTGTAACTAGATATGCGAGATCTGGCGAGTCAACTTACCAATGGAATTCCTACAAGTTTGCCAATATTCAAACACTGCGAAATGTGACTACACTGTACGTTATTAGTAGTGCTTGGTTTGATTTTAAGAAACATTACCCTCTAAGTGTTTCTTTGCGCTTGTTAATAAAAGTTCAGAAAACAAACCACCTTTCCGAACGCAGTATCGTACAAACCCCTAATCCAATTTGTCAACAGAATAACGTGTATAATATATAAAATTAAAACATATCCTGATAATATCCTTGGGGTATAGAATTTGGAAGTAATATTTTTGTGACCTAAATATATCTGATCTCCACGTCCTTGATTAGTCACATATAGTGAATTTCAGATCACACGTAATCACAGTGTCAATCTTTTTTTTTAATGATACTTTTGACTTGGTTGTTAAGATATGTTAATACATAGTATGAATGTCTATTCAAGATTTTGTGCTTTGATTTTTTTTAAATACTAAACCCTATTCGACTAGTTAACTAATGTTGTGAAACCGAAATAAAACGCGTCATTTGGATTATAATATTAGAAA